ATATGTCCATACAAAGACTTGTACATGAATGTTCATAGCAGCTTTATTTGCAACAGCCCAAATCTAGAAACAGCCAAAATGTTCATCAATAAGGGAATGGGTAAAATCACTGGTGTATCCCCACAGTTGAATACTACTCAGTAATAAAAGGAATGAACTAATGATACCTGCTACAACATCAGTGAATCAAAATAATTTTGCTGAGTGAAAGAAGCCAGATAAAACAAGTCTATACAATGTGTGATTCCAATTATATAAAATTCTAGGAAATACAAATTAATGTCTAGTTACATAAAGCATATCAGGGGTTGCCTGGCAGGGTGGAGAGGTAAGGAAGGCTGGGAGGGAGGGTTTACATGAGGAAACTTTTGAGTGTGATGAATACATCCTTTGTGGTGGTGATGGGTTTTTAAATAGTATATCTAAGGCCGGGCGCGGTGGCTCAGGTCTGTAATCCCAGCACTTTAGGAGGCCGAGGCCGGTGGATCACGAGGTCAAGAGATCAAGACCATCCTGGTCAACATGGTGAAACCCTGTCTCTACTAAAAAAATACAAAAATTAGCTGGGCATGGTGGCACACGCCTGTAGTCCCAGCTACTCAGGAGGCTGAGGCAGGAGAATTGCTTGAACCCAGGAGGCGGAGGTTGCAGTGAGCCGAGATCGTGCTATTGCACTCCAGCCTGGGTAACGAGTGAAACTCCGTCTCAAAAATAAATAAATAAATAAATAAATAAATAGTATATCTATGTGGATGTGCGTATCAAACTGAACACTTTATTTATTTATTTTTTTGAGATGGAGTTTCACTCATGTTACCCAGGCTGGAGTGCAATGGCACAATCTCAGCTCACTGCAACCTCCGCCTCCTGGGTTCAGGCAATTCTCCTGCCTCAGCCTCCTGAGTAGCTGGGATTACAGGCACGTGCCACCATGCCCAGCTAATTTTTTGTACTTTTTAGTAGAGACGGGGTTTCACCATGTTGACCAGGATGGTCTTGATCTCTTGACCTCGTGATCCACCCGCCTTGGCCTCCCAAAGTGCTGGGATTACAGGCTTCAGCCACCGCGCCCGGCCCAAACTGAACACTTTAAATAGACTTTATGGTATATGAATTATACTTTAAAGAAGCTGTTAAAATGATCCCAAATTTTAAGTTGTTCTCATTTAATTCCATAGCATCACAGTAGGTAGTCAGTCAGACATGAGTAGGGCAGGAGGAATGTCAGGTGGTCAGGTGGTGATCATCATCAATCATCAGGTGGTCAGGCAGTTGTTAAACTGTCTCTCTAAAATAATTGGTCACAGCTGGCACCAATTATTATTGGAAAGGCAGTCTCCCAACAGATAGAAAATACCTAAAACTGGTGATCAGCAGCTTCCCGAAAAGATTTCAGGAGTTTGGGAGAGTTGGCTCACAGGTGTGCACTAAGAGGCAAAATTGCGGCATTTAACTGGTACTAATATATGACCTTCTAGGAACACTCATCTAGTAAGGGAAGAATGTCTCAAGTGAGCATCCACACAACTTCAGTTAATGCACTGAGCATATGGTCCCTCATGCAGACAAGCCCACCCCAAGAAAAGAATCAGGGGAAATGGGACATAACCCCCTGGAAGCATGCCAATGTATAAAGCCCCAAGTCAATGGCGGGGCACAGTGGCTCAAGCCTGTAATCTCAGCACTTTGGGAGGCCGAGGCGGGTGGATCACGAGGTCAAGAGATCGAGACCATCCTGGTCAACATGGTGAAACCCCGTCTCTACTAAAAATACAAAACATTAGCTGGGCACGGTGGCGCATGCCTGTAATCCCAGCTACTGAGGAGGTTGAGGCAGGAGAATTGCCTGAACCCAGGAGGCGGAGGTTGCAGTGAGCCGAGATCGCACCATTGCACTCCAGCCTGGGTAACAAGAGTGAAACTCCGTCTCAAAAAAAAAAAAAAACAACAAAAAAAAAACCCAAGTCAAAGGTCAAGGAGCGCACTTGAATCTCTAAAGTTGCTGGCTTGGGCCTCTTCCATGTGTACATTAATTCCTTTCATTCTTGCTCTAAAACTTTTCAATAAACTTTCACTACTGTTCTAAAACTTGCCTTGGTCTCTCCCTCTGCCTTATGTCTCTTGGAAGAATTCTTTCTTTCGAGGAGGCAAAATTGAGATTGCTGCAGACCCATACAGATTTGCCGCTGCTCACACACTTTGGTGCATGTGACTCAGATACATTCCCTAGTGCTAACAAAAGCGTTACGTATTCCTACACAATGACTTAAATTAGAAATGAAGGAAGCCTCTGGAGTACTGATGGAATCCCAAGAAGACCAACAATATTTAAATAGTAAATTCCAGTGGCAATGTCAGAAAGAATTTCAAGTACCTTAGGGAGGATAACAGTTGATCAAACAAATGTACAAAATTTCATGTTTACTTTAAAGCCATGTAAGTGTACAATGGCATTAAATACATTTACAATGTTGGGTGACCATTGTCACTACCCATTTTCAAAACTGTTTCATCACCTCAAACTGAAATTCTGTACTCCTTGATAACTCCCCATAAACAATAAAATTCATGGTTTTCAGGACAAAATACAATTTTTGAACATTTTACAAGGAATCAGCTAAAGTAGATTAAAATGACTTTGACCATACAACAGGAGCAGTCATGCTTAGATTGCTGCGAATGCCTTTGCAGGCTGGGCACCATGATTTGTACCTCAAATCTGGCTGTTATTTCCCACACTCCTAGGTCCCAAAGAAATGTGGGTGAGGTCTTGTGGTTGACACACCATCACTGTCATTCAGCTGGAAAAACAGCCCAAACTGCTTGCCTCAATGATAGTGGGTCAATTGTGTCATCTTTGTGTGGGAAGAATGCCCTAATTATCATTACTCCCTTTGGACTAAATTATCAAGTCATTTATAAATCATTTCACTTTCCTCCTTGTTTGCCTCCTCCTCCTACCTTCAGGTTCCATCCCTCTAAGTCATTGGGAAAAGCCTTACAAAATTGATAGTTTTGTGCACTTCCAGTTCAAGTTGCCTTACCCACTTTTTTTTTTTTTTTTTAAATTTGGAGTTTTTATAGAGACGGGATTTTGCTATGCTGCCCAGGCTGTTCTTGAGAACAGCTGTTTGAACTCCAGGTCTTAAGCAATCCTTCCACCTCGGTCTCCCAAAGTGCTAGGATTACAGGCATGAGCTACCACATCTGGTCCACCTGACTCACTTCTATTCCAGGACTGTTCAACTATGATGAGACGTTTTGGCTCCTCTTGTCAAGCAGGTCGCCACACCTGGTTCCATGATCTCTTCTAGCACAGCAGCTGGTATGTGGCAAACAGAGCTCTCAGGGATTGAAACCCGTCCTAGGTGTGCACCAGAAAGTGGTGGCAAGAGATGAAGCTTCCGAGGAGGCAGACCTCAGCCAGGGTTCTTAGGTCGCTGAGTTTCAGCTTTCTCACCTCTCAACGGACATGATATCTACCTAGTAGTAATTTCAGGGGAGTAAATGAGATAATGTTTGGAAGATATCTAGTCTACCAGGCGCGCACGTGGGGGACGAAGGTTGTTTCCTGTCCCTTCTCTATCAAATGGCTTTAAAATCAGAAGAAAGTGTTGGGTATGAAATGGGACTGCGAAAAAAATGGAGGCTGCTTCTGGCCTAAAGGATGCTTCTCTGTATACAAAGGACTCCTGATTCAAAGAGGCCTCTGGATTCAAAAACACAAGTGGGGTTTGGGACTAGCTGAATTCCGGATAAAGATGCCTGTATAGAGGGGTTGATGAGAATCCGGAAAAGGACTTGAAATGCCCAGGCATTGCCATGGCACATTCCTCAGTTTTTTTTTTTTTCCGCACCGCATTTAGAGGTTTAGACAGAGTGAGCTAGAACCAGGTGAAAAGCCTTAAATTGCCCCGTGGCAGCGGCGGGGCAGAGGTCAGACCAACAGGTGTGGGAGGCTGCGAGGTGAGGGAAGAAGCAGGCAGGTGTCGGTGGAGGCCCCATTCCTCCAGCCCAGAGGCTCCGAGGCTGCTGTTGGTGTTCCAGCAGCGGGCGGAGGGATCCTGCCCGGCATCTGGGAGCGCTAGGCCTGGAGCCCGGGACGAGGCAGACGGAGGCGGCGGGTCAGCTGCAGGCCAGCCCCGGTGGGTTTCCGCTCCCCTCCGCCCGCCCGGCCCGGCCCGCCGCGGAGGATGCCTGGAGGTGGATGGGAACCGCCTGTGGCTGGGAAGCCCTCAGGCGCCCTCCCTAGCTCGGGGGCGGGGCCGCCTCTCCGCCGGCCCGGGTGGCGTGAGGGCTGGGGCGGGGGCCGGGGACCGCGCGGGGAGGGAGCGGGAAGGAGCGCGGGGCCAGCGGCCGTTCAATTGGCCGCGCCGCCCCTCGGCGCAGAGGCGGGAGGAGGCGGCCCTCCATTGGTCGGGCCCGGCGGCCAATCCCCGAAGGCCCGGGCGGAGGCGGGGGCGGCCAGAGGAGACCCGCGGTGCGGGCGGCGAGTGAGGCGGGCGGCGAGCGTGGAACCAGGCGCTTCGGACCGGACCCCGAAGCTCTGCAGCACTCAGTCGGATCCAGTCGCCCAGGCACCGCCCGCGCCCCGCGGCCGCGACCGTCTCCTGCGCCACCCAGAGGAGCGAGCTCGGAGCATCCCCCGCGGCGGCCACTACTCGGGGCTAGGAGCGGGGAAGCGAAGTGCTAAAGACCCGGGACCCCAGCGCAGCCTCTTCGCGCCGCCCGAACCACCATGACCCACTTCAACAAGGGCCCTTCCTACGGGCTCTCGGCCGAGGTCAAGAACAAGGTACGCCCGGCCCGGGCGGGCGCGGGATTCCCGGGGCGAGGGATGCGAGGCGGGCCCTGGGGACCCTCGGACTGGCCTGGCGCGGGGCCGTGCCTCGTTCACCCCTCGCGCTGTGGCTCACCGTTTTCCCGAGAGGGGACGTCGAGGCGGCGCAAGCGTAGCTGCTTGTCCCGCTTGCGTCCCGTCCCCGGGCTCGCGGCGCCGGCTCCCGGGCACCCGCCTGGCTTTGTTCCCGCGCGGTGGGACGGCACTAGTGACGGGCGGTGGGTTCCCGGGCGCCCGGAGTCCCGCGGCGCCGGCCTTTCTGGCTGCGGGGGTCTCTGGGGCCGTTTGGTGGCTGCAGGACGCGCCCTCCGGGAAGGGGGCGCTCTGCGTGGCCAGTCGCCTTTAGGCGGGGCCCGTCCGCGCGGCTAGGGACCCGGCGAGCCGCTGCTGCAGCCCCCGCCATCTGCTCGGGCCCCGGCTGCTGGGGGACCTCGCGCCTCCCCCGAGGGAGAGAGACCGCCTGGTGTCCCGCCGACCCCAGGGCCTCCTCCGAAGAACGGGAGCCGGTCCGGAACCCATCGCGGTCTTCGATCTCAGTGCCTGGGAAGCATTCAGAGGCAGATTGCTGCCGCCGCCGCTGCTGCTGCTTTTGCAAAAAATGGAGACAAAGCCTGAGCGCGCCGCTGTGGGAGTGATATCTGCTTTTTATAAAACACTGAGAAGTTTGTAGTACATTAGACTTTCACTGCATCAAGGATTATTTTTGTGTCTTGCTTTTGTTGAGGGCTTGTTTGCTGAGGCGGCTTATAGTTTGGAGCGATGGGGATTTGGTGACGCTCAGCTTTGCCACTGAGCCCAAGAATGCGTTAGGTTTATCTTTGGGACTTTTGGCCTGGGAAAGAGATGAGAGGCGTCCCCCTCCCCAAATCCTCTCCTTCCTTCCTCCCTCTCTGCATTCCAAGCCCATGACATCAGGGGTTTCTAGGGGGAGAGACCAGCCAATCGGCGCGGAACTGCGCACAGAACGCTCATTGTCTCCCTTCTGCTGTTCTGGCCAAAGCGCCACAAAGGAGGGCTGCTGTGTTTTAATTCCCATTAACCTCCCGGGAGCCCAAGCATGTCAGGATTGCCACCGCACCGTCCGACCGCTGGTAGAAGGCACTGGCATTGTCAGAACTGGAACATCCTGGGGCTGCGGGTGTAGGCGGTGTGACGCGAATTATGTAGAGGTAATGAAGCGCACCGTTGTCAAACCCCAAGGGAGAGTTGTGGCTCTTGTCTCCCGCTGTTGGTCTGCGCATCATACCATCTTTGAAGCAAGGAGATGATTTTAGTCTGTCTATCTAAAATGGAAACGTTTAGGTCCTTTTCAAACGTGTTGCCCATAGTAGACAGCAGTTTGCTAAACAGTTTTTTAGAGTGCAGAAAGATAAGCAGTTTGTGTATGATTGAGTGCAAACCTCACCAACTGAAAAGTTTGTAACAAGTTAATGTTCCCTTCCTCCTAGGGTTTACAAACCGAACTTTAGGAAGCTTTTCAGAGGAATCCGCATGTCTGAAATGTTGGACATGCTACTTTGGCCTAGTTGTGCACATTAATTGTAATTCCCCCCAGTGAATCTTGGCCGGCAGCAGTTGGGTCTCTCTACTACCTTTTGCATTGTAACTGAGGTACTGATAACATTGGCAGTCCTTCAAGTGACTTACTTTTCTTGGATGTTAATAATATCCATGCAAATTTGCTTTTTGCTGACTAATGTAGCAGTTTCTGCCCTTTTCCTGCTTACTACTGAGCAGACCCGAGGAAATGCAAACACAGGCTAGATCACTATCATAATTATCATAAATGTTTAAAAACAGTAAAACCTCAGTTTTCAGAACCTTTGGTAAGTTAGTTATGAAGGCTGTGGGTTTATCCCTTTAAGCACTGAGCCCATTTTTTAATAACCACTTTTCATTTCTGTGGTCCATTCAGACAGTATTCTTTCATAGGAAGTCTTTTGATCTTAACAGCAGAGCAGTCCTGTAAGGTGAGGAGGATTGCTGGGATTATCCAACATCATTTACAGATCAGTACACGGAAGCTCAGAAAGATTTGCTCAAGGTCAGAGAAGTTGGACTGTTCTAAGAATTTTAACTCTAAAAGTGTTGAGGGAAGTACTTGGGGATGTTTTACACAAGCTCTACTGTCACCTTCCTCTTTTTTTTTTGGAAATGGAGTCTTGCTCTGTCGCCTGGGCTGGAGTGCAGTGGTGAGATCTCAGCTCACTACATCCTCCACCTCCCGGGTTCAAGCGAATCTCCTGCCTCAGCCTCCCGAGTAGCTGGGATTACTAGCTACTCCATGCCTGCCACCATGCCTGGCTAATTTTTGTATGTTTTAGTAGAAACCCTGTGGTTTTGCCATGTTGGCCAGGCTGGTCTCCAACTTCTGACCTCGGGTGATTCCCCCTGCCTCAGCCTCCCAAAATGCTGGGATTACAGGCATGAGCCAGGGTGCCCAACCCTTCCCCCCATTTTTGCTACCCACTTTTCACTTCTTGACATTGTGATTATTTTTGTGATACTGTTTCTGATCTGTTCCGGGCCTGGGAATCAAATAGCCATGACTGAGGCCTCAGGACTCCCAGGTGAAAGGTGGAGTATATGCAGAAGTAACATTGTGAGGTTCTGACCTTTTGATTCCTTCTTACTTTTTCTTTATTGCATAATTGATACATTGCTTGAATGCCAGATTACCCCCATCCACCCCCAATCTCATTTAACAAAGAAGTGTAGAAACATCCTGGGGAGACGGTGTGGAGTGGACCTGGGGGTCAAGCATTTGTGAGTTCTAGTCCCAGTTCTGCTGCTTCTGCCTTCTATAATGCTAGGCAAGCTACTTGACTTCTGTCTCCTTTCTAATCTGTAGAATAGGGGAAAACAATAGTTGCCACCCCCAAACACCATGTTGTGGTGATGTATCTGGCTTACAGTCAGTACTTAGCAACTGTATTGTAGCTATTAGCTCTTAGTAACAGAAAATTAGTTGTTGGTATTATATTTCTTAAATTTGTATGTCCCTGTGTCTTTAAGTATTTGGTTTGCATTAAGAGCTTTTGGTCTTGTTATATAATATTCTAGCTGTAAAAACAGTTCATCAGTGAATTGAGGAGGTCTCTGATTTTAAATACTTTAATCAGTAAAATTTCAGGGAAAAATCTTCTAAGACACTTGATTGGTAAGATGATGATTCATGGACAGGTGTAGTGGCTCACACCTGTAATCCCAGCACTTTGGGAGGCAGAGGTGGGCAGATCACCTGAGGTCAGGAGTTCGATACCAGCTTGGTCGACATGGTGAAACCCCATCTCTACTAAAAATATAAAAATTAGCCGGTTGTGATGGCATGTGCCTGTAGTCCCAGCTACTCGGGAGGCTGAGGCAGGAGAATCTCTTGAACCCGGGAGGCGGAGGTTGCAGTGAGCCGAGATTATGCCACTACAGTCCAGCCTGGGCGACAGAGTGAGACTCAGTCTCAAATAAATAAATAAATAAATAAAGATGATAATATATGTCAGAACATACAAACTTTTTTTAAAATTTATTTTTTATTTTATTTATTTATTTTTCAAGATGGGGTTTCACCATGATGGCCAGGCTGGTCTTGAACTCCTGACCTCAGGTGATCCACGCATCTCAGCCTCCCAAGGTGTTAGGATTACAGGCGTGAGCCATCTCACCCGGCCAAACTTATTTTTTTTAATAGGCAAGAAGTTTTGTGAAAACAGCCTTAAAAAGAAGCCTAAAAGTTTCAAACTTTCAGCCTGGAATATGAACAAAGTTTCTTTAATAACAAAAAAAATGACACCAAATGATTAATAACTTGCAGTTTACAAAAACCATCAGAGAGCAGAAGGGCGAGGGAAAATGCAGGCAATGGTATGGATGGTTCGGTGGATAATGGAAACACTCATAAAGTAATGGTCCCTACAGATACTCTATAGGTTGAGCCAGGCCCTTGAATGCATCTTGGGAACTAAAATGAAAAGTGAAACAGCATTGTGCCTCATAAATGAAAAAAATTAACAGGTCCTCAAGGGAAGCACAGCATTTCCTGGCAAAATGTTGGGGTAGTTTCCTGTCAAGTTGAGGTCACAATGAAGCATGTCTTCATTAGGCTTGGAGCAAATGCCACAGGAACCTTTCTTACAGGTCTCAGGGAAAGTAGAAGAAATAAATAGATGAGTGGGAAGGGGGAAGCTGAAATAATCTTACATTGGTGTGTTTGGTTGGGTAGAGGGTAACTGAAATATTAAGAAGCTCGGAGTCGGAATGCACATTCTTCTAGTCTTCCGCTTCCCTGGAATGTCTGATTTGAGCAAAGCGGCTTCCCACAGGATCTTCTTGGTTACAAAATGGTATTTCTCAACACCTGAAAACCATCTTGGAAGACTTATTACCAAAATCTTTGGTTGCTGAAGAGTAAGTTAAATAATCATATAGTATTAATCAGATAGGACAAGCGTCCACGAAGTCCTCCCAGCCTCTTTGCTGGGTGCGCTTTAGATGCACAGCTGCTCTGAGTCAGAGTAACCCAGGGTGACCCAGCTATAAATTATACCCAAAGATGGTCTGCCTTGTCTTGCTGCTAGAGCAGCAGAATCTTGGTGAAAATGTGTTGGTGGGCTTAGCTTTTTTCTTTTTAAACTTGAATGTTCGGAAATTGGTTTTTAATTAAAATCTTTTTTTGTTTGCTTATTGTCTGTCTCTTCCCACCAGAGATAAAACTCTCTTATTCATGGGTGTGTCTCAAGTTCAGTATTTTAGGATATAGTTTGGCACATAGCATATGCTCAATAAATATTTGAATACTGACTTAATGAATTTATTAGGAATAGATTTTGCTATCTCTAGACATAGGAAGTTAAAAATTACCTCTGTTGTCTACATAAGATAATTCTGTAGTGCAAGTGTGATGATTTTGAAGGATGTGGTTAAAAAGAAAATATTCTTAAAAAATACTTTATTTTTTGATCTCACTATGTTGCCCAGGTTAGTCTTGAACCCTTGGGCTCAAATGTTCCTACTGCCGTGGCCAGCTAAAGCACTGGGATTACAGGTGTGAGCCACCATTCCTAGCCTTGTTTTTCTTAAGTAGTTTAATAGTTACTATGACATTGAAAATTTTCATCTTTGCTGCTGATTTTGGGATTATCTCTTAAGACATGTTTTGACTGGTAGAGGTGTCCTCTGCAATGGTTTGTCCAGTGCCTGCATTTTCCTGAATACGGCTGGAGAAGGGGCCATTGATCCAGGCCGTGACTTTGCTCCTGGTAGCAACCAGCCATTGCTGTTGGTTTGCTTTAGTTTTTGTTTTCCTGTCTCGACCAAAGCAGATAAAGAAGATAGACTTTGCTGAAGTGACAGGAGGTACCGTGCTTCCTCCTTGGAGTTTTTTGGTTTGTTTGTTTGTTTTTTAGAGATGGGGTTTCACCATGTTGGCCAGTGTAGTCTTGAACTCCTAACCTTGTGATCCACCCACCTTGGCCTCCCAAAGTGCTGGGATTACAGGTGTGAGCCACTGCGCCCAGCCTACTTAGGAGTTTTAATGAGGATTATTATCAGGCTCACTGTCCAGCTTTTTATAGTCTAGTATTTGTGGAAATTGTTCTGCCTCTAGCCACTCTTTTAGATTTCAGAAAC